ACTTAGTAATCTATTTCCTTAAACAATGATGCCTCTCTCACTTCTTATTAAGAAGTAATGCATACAATTAAAAGAAAGTCAAGACAGGTCGACAAAATTGTGAACTAATGGTTATGTCTCTTACTCTCCATCCTCTTTAATAACTTCTCACATCCTTCATTTGTTAGGCTTCCTTTTTCTCTGTCTTCTTCATGCTCAGTTAGGAACTTAATACTGGGCATGCACATTAACTATGATAAGTTTGTGTTGAAAATGGAAAACTCCAATAGTATTCAGGGTTAACTTTCTCCTAAGTTTAACCATATTCATGAATGGTGTGAAGGAGACTATTCTCCGAGTGAAACCCTAAGTTTTCCCTCTCATTTTTTTCTGCCAAAACAGCATCTTGGAATAGGTGGACACCTTTAACACACTTGCCTTTTTCTTTCCCTTCTCACCCATCCCTGCTTCAGCAATATAATTTGGGGTATAAGATCTGAAACAATCTTCATAAATCTCAATGAATTTATGTTACTTAAATACATGGAGATGCTAACCTCATCCCTCTCTAGTTTTCGCTAGTGTACTTTTCCTTTTTTTCCCAGTTGCTAATTGGGCTTTCTCATAATAGGCCTTCTGGATACATTTCAGGACACAATGTTAAACTTGTCTGGAGGAAGAAAAAGAAAAGGGAAAGCTAGAGTTTCAAAATTTTTTCTCCTTCTACTTTCCATCTCCCCTCCACAAAGGAGGTAGCTATTGTGGATGATTAAAAAGTAAATGTTAGGTTACCTGTTAAGAAGAGAGAGAGGAGACCAAAGTCAATGCTTTTAATAGGTCAACTTATACTAGGAATTGCAAGATTTGTAAGGAAAATGGAACCTCACGCAATCCCAATTTAATATTCTTGCCAATAATTACATAGTAAGTGGCAGAGCTAGAACTAGACCCCCAAATTACTTAGATTCAAAGCTAATGGTCTTTCCACTATTCTATGATGCTTTTTATTATCTTGAAACCGGAGACAATTTCCTTTCCCTCAATTGACAAGAACACTCTATTAACAAGTGTAGGTGAAGTTCCAGGCCCTCCTATGATTAGCAGCTGATTTCTGAATCAGCCTTATCTTTTGCCAAACCACTTCTTCAACAGACACTGAGGAAAGACCGGAAATTCATTTAAAGAAAAGATAAATGAAGCAGAAGCTTCTTCTTGGTAGAAATACAGTGTCGTGTATGGGAAACTACTTGCACTTAGACTAAAAGGTGTGGGTTTGAATCCTGGTTGGGCCACGTTATGAGAGTCATCTTAGGCTATTACTGGAATTCTGTGAGTGTAGTGTGAGGATTTGGAAATTATATTATCTGACTTAATGTTTTGCACAGGATATTCTGGGAATCCAAACATTTACACATATATTAAATGTGATTATAATTCAACTATTTGTCATTAGATTAAATAGCTTAGAATAATAGCTGGCGTGAGATAAATGCTCAATAAATAGTAGCTATTTTAGTTAAATATTCCGACATGGTTCTTTATTCTCATCCTCAAACTATCCCCTTAACTCTCCATTTTTTCCTCTCTTCTCTTACTATTCTGTACCTCCCTTCCCTATGAAGCTGTTATAAAAAAGGAATAAGATTTTAGATCTAATGAGATCTTCTCTGATTTAGGTTTCAGATAATGCAGTTTTCAGCCCATGTATTATATTGGCTCAAGATGTCTAGTGACAGTTACTTGAAAGAGTATTCATTGAGAAAGTTAGGTTTCATAAAGCCTCCAGAACACATGTGTATACACACTCACATCCAAAAACTCTATTAATATTTTAAAAAGACCTCTAATTTGCAGATAATTAAATCAATCATTAAATATAACTTGTAGGAGTCAACTATTTCTGGTTATTGGCAATGGTATTTGAAATGAGTGTACTTTGCCAACACAATGAATTATTTTTATAATAAAGTACTTTCAATTTCAAATAAAATATTTCTAAAATCTTGATGAGAAAGTAGTTCATTTTTTCCATTTATACATATTTAAAGACATTCTCAAAACTGAATTCAAGTAGTAATTTACAATCAAGGCTGATGAAACTTACAAATACATTTTAATTGATATTTGGTAATGTTGCTTTGCCATATTCACCCATCAATTTTCTAACTTCTCTCTATTAATGCCTATTCTTATGTGAAGAAAGAGAGCACACACAGTAGGTAGCTCGAGGATATGGTGATGCAACAATAACAAAAGTGAATTTTAAACCTAATTGCTCTGTTACAAGAACTTTAGCTTTGCAGGTCCCTTTGTGAAAGTAATTTCTCAGATATGTGATATCATGGATCAAGCATTACCACAAAAACTTTTCTCTGATTTAACAAATATTTTAAAATCCTGTGAAAAGCATATTGTCTTCCAATTTATTTTAAAGCAAAGTTTTAAAAAGGTCACCATCTATGGCTATGTGTCATTAAATCCCTATATATGTGTGTCATCTGAATACACCCTATGATCTCCAGTTTTTAAGACATAAAGTGCCCCCTAGGAAAAAAGTTCAGCACAGTTTCACTAATTGCAGACAATATGACATGCTTACATGGCAGCAAACTGGAATTCCAAACACTCACCAATCGGTCACTGCACAAAAGGCCAAGACATTAGCAGAGGAGGCTGATTGATAAAGTTAATGCAGAGGTCCAGAATTATAGAGGGCTGTTGTATAACAGCATCACATACTGCAATATCTTGTGAATCCGTGCAATAAAAGAACAATATTTGCAAGCAAGTGGAAAGCAGTCACAGGAAAAGCAGTGGAAAAGATGTGTTAGAAATAAGCATTTGGACAGGGCACCTAATTGTTATTTGTCCACATAAGCCCATACAATCTTATAATTGCCATCCTTTGGCAGTTAGCAGATTTGGAATTCTGTCCTAAAACTCACCCACTCCCACTTAAATAAAATCTCTCACTTGAACCCATGCTTGAAACAGCCAATGAAAAGGTTTGACAGCCACTACTTGCACTGTGCCTTCCCCTTCCTATCCGGACTCTGTCAAGCAGAAGCCCATATTTTCCACTAGCTGCTGGAGGCCTCCATCCACCTGCTGTCTGCAGCAAAACACCAAAAAGAACAGCAGCAAACCTGTAAATCCTGACCAGCAGAAAAGGTGTTCAGGACAGGTCGTAGGGGCTGCAATCAGTGAGGACAGACGGACTGACACCCAGACAGACAGACAGCAGCACCATCAGACACCATCCATTACTTCCAGTCTCAGAAGAGGGGAAGCCTGCAGCACCAGGGATGTCATTCTTCCACTAGGGACAGGCAGCAGATTAACGAGGTTCTGCCTCCTGCAAGCCTGCAGGCTTAAAGTATTTGTTTTTTGGATGAGAAGGAGCAGGGAATTCAGAAACCTGCTGCTCTTTATAGAACCAGGCCAGCTCTGGCCTTCTGAGTTAACAGCCCTTTTTCTGAATGTACAATGAAAGGACAGGACTGGCTGGATTTCTACTATTTTACTGTAACTCTATAGCCATATCTCTCCCTCAATATCCCGCACGCCCATCTGGGTGGCAGTTACCAAAGATGGACCCCTCAGTCTGTGAGTGCAGCCTCCCTCCACTCCTCTCCTGTGAGGCACTGCTGCACTGAGGGAAAGTAGAAGAAATCCTCCTCGCAGCATCTTCTCTTCAGGAGGCAATCCTAGGGCCAGGGGAGAGGCCATGCTCCGTGTGCTCTGTGCCTGGGAGTCACCCCTGCTCCCTTCCTACCCCTTCTTTGCTATCAGCTAACTCCAGATGCAACAGGTCCCATTGGCTCTTCATGCCAATCCCTTGCCCCCAGATACACCTCCCAGCCTAAGCGGGGAACACCAAGAAATCAGTCCCAGTCAGCCTCTGAATTCCCCTGCCCCAGACTGGAACACTTTCCTGAATACATAAAGACTTCCCCAGGGAAGACAGGCTTCAAGTCCCCTTCAGCTCCACTCTGTGGACAATACTAAGGAGCATGGAGAAACCTGTCTCTCTGCCCGTACCATGTAAGCAGTTTTGTCTGAGGCAAGCAGCAGCACAGTGTCACACACCCCTGCACCACCAGCAGCGAGCCCCATCTTCTCCCCATCCCCAGGAAAATGGGGCACCAGGCAGAGATCCCTTGAAGGGGCGATGGGCTCCAAAGAAGGGAGTGTGTGTGCAAGTACTCAATCCCTTACTGGACTGCTTCCTCCAGGAACTGGGCAGGCCCCAGAGGTGTCTCTTGGAAACCAGTAAAGAGGAACCTCTATTTATTCAGGCCAGAGTCCTCGTCAGCTTCTCCCATGATTAAAAACTTTGTATTGCCATTGGCGTTACATATGGGTAAGGAAATGTGCCTTCACACAGGTATTCTGTGCAGAAGACTCTGAATAAAAGGTTAAAGAGAAGCTGGGGAGGCAGTTACCAAAGATGGCAACTGCCCAAAAAAATACCCAACCTTGATCTCTGAGATGAATGAGTACCAAAATGAACACTAAAAATAAGCATTTTTTATTATATAAATACAGGCACCTTTCATCGGGGTAACCCGGACCTGCTAAACAACTCCAAGAAGAGAAGAGGAGCTGTCCTCAGCACCTCTTCATCCCACCTCCCGAGTCTTCTAATCACCCCGGGCCACCTAACCTGCTCCCAGCCCAGGGGCCTTCCACTTGGGGCGTGGGGAGATCTGCTCCTCTCAGCTTCTGCACAGCCCACTACCAGGGTGGCCCCTGTCCACTCAATCCTCCTCTGCACCCCAGTCTCAAGCCATCCTCTCCCGGCTGCTGGGCTCCTGGCTGTGGCATCCCCTCGTGCCTCCGGTCCCCCGCCTCTTCCCCGCTCACGCCCAGCGCCCCTGGCCCCAAGGCGGGGGCCTCCGCCCGCACCCAGCACCTCGCCCGCCCCTCCCCCACACTCGGCCGAGGGGACCGGGCGAGTGAGCGGTGAATGGACGGATGGAGGCACGGAGGCACGGATGGCGCGGCTGGGGGTGGCTTACTTGAGCATGGCTTCTTCTTTTTCCTCCTCTTCCTTCTGCCGGTCCATCACTGCCATGATAATGTTCCTCTCCTCCTCGGTCAGGTGGCTCAGGTCGGGCAGCTCTTGCATCGGGGGAGGCACCGTGGGTGGGCGAGGACCGCGGGGCCCCACGGCCGAGGACATTTTCGTGGCCTGCCCGCCCCCTCCGCTCGCTCGCTCGCTCGCTGGCTCTCACCTTTCGGATGCACGCCCAGCGGCTGCGCCCCTGCTTCCCCTCACAGCGGAGCCCTCCCGGCGGCGGCGGGAGGAGGAG